TTCTTTTTTAAAAAATTAAAAACTTTGTTTTTTTTAATATTTGTTTGAAGTATTGTTTTCATTGTATTTATGTGATTTTTTGATAGAATTAAAAAATAAATACGTATTTGAAAATTCAGGACATGGGAAATCTAAAGATCAATAAAGCAATAAATTCTGTTTAAAATAAGCTAAATTACAAGTCTACAAAAATAAACGTGTCAACTGGGAACCTGGCAAATTTTGCAACCTTGAGGAGGTGTAACTAGGCGAAGAATTCACTTTCCCAGGTTTTTTCGACTTTTTCTATACTGGCCTAGACTCTACTAATCAGTAAAATTTAAGAAAATTCTGAGATGTGAAGGCAAAAGTGTACGATTTGACATGGAATGGCCCATATATACATACATATAATTTCTCTAATACAATAGGTGATTTAACACCTATAATAAGTAGAAAGTAAACTGTGGTTAAAAATGAGTACTATTTACAATTTAAACATAATTTGCAAGTAGAACGATAACTACAAGTCAAAAATTGTATATAAATTTAGTACTACTTAGAAATACCAATCCTAATGTGCGCTTGCGCAGGTGTCTAATCTTCGCCGTCTTTTAGGAAGCTTCAATTCCGCTACGATCGCCTAGTTGGCATCTCATTTCTACAAAAGCGACAGGTTTGGGACGTTGGACATCGCGTGTGTACATGAACTCCTTCACTAGATTACACTGTTCAACTCAAAATGTAAAGTAAATTTATTGGTTTTCTGAAATGAAGAACGTGCACTCTTTGCTTTTTTTGTGAATTTCCTGCGAAAAATGTCGTACGACCTACTCAAAGCGCAAGTTCTCGTAGGTCCTCGGCTCTGATATTGAGATGCGCTTCATCCGCAACTTCCTGCTTCAGCCATTTCCAGAAGAGTTCAATCGCAGAAAAATGACAGTGAATGGAGTGGTTGTCGAAGAATCTCAACCTCACTATCCTCCGCATTTTTATCAATAAAATACGTTTGGAACTCCTTTTTTCTCCCAACGGTGTGAAAACGAATAGCCTGCAGCAGTAAAGTCTTCGTTCACGTCGGACCGAGGCGAAATTCGTGCTGCAGGAATGCCACAATGATGTTCCTTGTGTCCGCTAAGGTGGGGATTCTGTCGAGCGTTTTCGAATTGTATGGGGCATTGTTGAGCACGAGGAGGACGCCGTTACTGTCGCATGCGGTCTTCGGATTGGCAGTAAGTCGGATGAACCACGTTTTGTACACCTCGATGCTCATGTCCCGATGGTAATCGCCTTGGTTGATGCCGTGAACCATGGTGTCGAAGCTAGCTGCATACGCATTCCGAAATTCCCTTCGTATCAACGGCTTCCGCGAAGACTTGCAGGACGGCAGCACCTGCTTCACCACTCCATGGTCGATTGTTGGCTACACTTGTGCTAAAATACTCTGCACCATGTTAACAGACACACCTAAAACACTGGAGCTGAAAGCTGGAGGCGGAGGTGGCTGCAAACCGGGTCCGCTAAACCTGTAATTCCAGTCTTTGCAGGCTTCAGCCATATCAACAACGAAGTGCCTTATCACACAGCTTCGTTCTCACGGTCATCCTCGCAGTTTCCGAAAGCGGCATCTCCACACGTCGTTTTTTCATCTGTGGAAAGCAGCTTCTGATTATTTCGGCAACCGGCAACCTGTCGTATCCTGTAATAGCATTCAAACCTGTTAGTCCATCATTACTATTCATGCTCATCGTTATTCTTCATGTTGCTCACTGTTAGTCGCCATTCTGTTCAGTACCGAACGGGTTATTTTCCTAAGGCACGGCCGTTGGACCGCCCCACATCGGTTTGACAGCCGACGTCTCGAGTGGTGGCTGTCTGGGTCTGCCAGGCCACATCATCCTGAACTGCGGCCGTTTGGCAACCCTTGTCTGCAGAGTTTCTGTCAGACAGTCTCCGCATCTGCCTCAATTGCCTTCGCATTTTTAAGATAAGAAGCGAATTTTTTCGATACCGGTCGACGAAAGGCATAGCTTATCTGGAATAAATATTTGTTACTGTTTTATGAAATTTGTGTTTCATTACGATAGCAGTCTCTTTAAATCTTTCAGTATGCTAGTGACAATTCAAAATTTCTCACTGATTTTGGAACATTTTCATATATATTTTTGATATTTTCAAACAGCTACTCACTCGAGTAATTCAGTAGTTTAGAAATATTTTTTCATTTTTGTATAGTAGCAATTTTAGTAGCAATTCCAGAACATTCTTCACCAGTTTAACAATATTTTCAAATGGCTATTCATTCGAATAACACTCCCATGTTACTCAGTAGTTTGGTAATATTTTTTCATTTTTCTACTCATTTCAGTAACGCTTCCATATTCCCACTACTTAAGAACTACTGTATGTATTTTTCCCAGAATTTTTATCGGTTCCCACACGTTTTCTTGCGTTTTTTCAGTCTGCGTTACGTACGTTACTATATGACAAAAAAAAGCACTTTGTCATTAGCACAAGGCAACTTTATTACAGAAGTACGGCAAGTAATTCAGTCCCAAAAATTAAAATTACTTTTAGGAAGTTGGCTGATTCCACGCCACTCCTGTATTAAAATTTAGAAATAAAAAACTGCATGACAACCGTGTTTCCTTTTCTTCTTCTTTCCTTTTCAATTCACTAAAAATGACTTTTACAGCAACATTATTAAAGCTTTTTTCATTTATTAAAAGTTGCATTTTTTTTAGTTATTCGATTAAAACCATCTTTTCTGTGTGCCTGCTCAGTAACTCCCGTTTTTTTTTTACAATTTATTATCTAGGATACACATTTATTACATAAATGAAAAAAAATAACAAATTTTTGTACATAAGAACAAAATTACAACAGTTAATAAGTTAAAAAGTAACAGTTAGGAATAAAAGCCTTTTCACACATCTGGCAATATCTTGGCAAAAAATGGACCAAAAAGAGATTAAACAATTGCAAATTAAATGACATTATTAACACATTATACACACCATTAAAAAAGAAGCTTAACTTAGCTTTTCCGATGCCGCCCTATTATCTTCAGGGTGCCTCGATATAACACAGCGGCGTTCAGCCAAGTCCATTGGAGTTTCTCTAGACAAAAGCATTCTCGCTCCCAAAATTTTCCAAATCAAATTAGGATCGAATCCGCCTATATGTATCACTGCGGCCTCAATAACGTGTAGTTCGCTAAACTCCCAACATATGCCTTTACTTATGCCAATTTGCGTGATTCTCACTGTATTTTGTCAAACAAAGTAACAAGTTTTATCATTCATGCAAGGAAGAGCAGCAATTGTAAAAAAACAAAAATCTGCAAGAATACTAGGCATCTAGTAACAACGCTTCTGTTTACTGGAGTCTTACTGAAAAATTTATACTTCTAAATAGTTCTGTGGAATCATAGCTCCTTCATAAGGTAACGATACATACAAGGCACTTCACTTCCAGCGCATCGCTGGAAACTTTGTCAACAAGAAATGCGGGTCTAAAAGAGCAATCCCAACTTTTTGAAAGGTCAAGCTCAAAATGATTATCTTTCAGTAACAGCTTTCATTTGTTCAGGATGTGCACTCTGGAAAGATCGCACAGTCATTAAAAGTGGCCTAAGAAAGAACAATTCAGCCGTGTTGGTCCTACTACAGGGTTTTCATATCAGAACTGGTGTTAAAAATACCTTAAACGTGAATTACGTGTCCGTTGGAATATCTCTAACTGTTCGGACACAAGCTTGATGATTCTGAAAATTTTAATGTGTTCAAGACACCCAATCTGGAAATGTCTTATAGACAATGAAATGCTCTGAGATCAAACTACCGAATTATCCAGCCCAAATAACAGTCACCTGTCCTTTTTTTCTTTCAGTTATGTGTTGTTTTTCAAGCTAACTTTTCTTGCAAAAGCCTGCTGTAGTCTCGGAGGTTTTTTTTTATCTAGAGAAGTTATTCCACAACCAGCTAACGCTTAATAAAAAAGCTTTAAGAGAAGACTACTTAACAATCTCAGTTCCACTAGCAATCAAGGATCGATCATTCGCGTTACATGCCTTTTTTTTTCTCTATTTTATGTCTTTTGCACTTTCGACAACTTTTCATCACAGACTGTTCACTTCTGAGCCAGCCTATGCTCATCAGCAAGCTTTAGAACAAATTATTTAAATGTAAAAAGAAAAATAGACTAGTACAAAAAAACCTTCAAAAACCGGTCCACGACCTATACTGGTCCTAAATGTTAAAGCAGCTCATTTTTAGATCATTTTACACGTTCTTTCCAGAACGGACATCCTAACTAGCTAAAAACCGTCTCGGAAGCGATATCTGGCTCCACGTATGAAAAATTGGAACTCTTCCAGCAGTGACTTACATTAGCGGGATCTTCAAGGGCAGTCCGGAAACGAAGAGGCCTGAAGGTAAAGCAGATGAATTTCAGATATAAATCGAGTGATATAGTCACATGAGGATGACGGAAACGCTTCAATATCAATGGGTCTCAAAACAAGTGTTCTAAAAAAGCGTTGCAGGACGGGAACAGGAAAATTCGGAATTTAATGAAATCAGTTTTATTTTGGAAATTATCATAAGCGCTAACTCTTGCATTGAAAAGCAACAGAGGCGCAGTTTGAGAAGTAAAGTGTGTTTTAAAGGACCCGAGAAGGCAAACTGTGAACAAAAATGAGCTTAGAAATCTCGTGATTTTACTTTTGAATAGTGCGTTCTGACACGCCCTCAACATTCTGCCAAGACATCGTGTTCTTGCACCCCGTTAGAGTTTATCTTGAATTATGGCTCCACTGCTTATGCATCGAATCCATTTAGTGCTTCCATTCCAATTCAGTAATGTTGGAAAGTAGAGAAAAGATGCAGTTACGTTCATTGAGTCTCCTGCATAATTTTCCAAGCACGTTGAAGGGATGGAAGTGACATGAGTTTTGGCTTGAGGCAGAATTGATACGGCTTTTCGAACAAATGTAACCGCCGCAGTGTAAACATGGAAAGATGGACGCGTGGCTGAAGCGCCAGTTCATCAAGCGGGAAAAGTCCGATTGGTTGGTAAATGAAATCTTGGGCTTCGTTTGCCTAGTGCTTTTGAGTTTTACTGTTCCGGAACTGCGCAGGATTTGTTCCCGTAAGGACGTAGGTTTCTGGGATAATCTGCAGTAAACACGGGTTTTAAGAAGTAGATTCGAGTGGATGGATAATCAGGATAGTTTTTTGGAGATTCCTTGGAGACGACGTACATTTTTTTGATAGGTCCGTATGGCAGGGTGAAGCGGTACTCAAGTGGGCGGGATCCACTTTTCTGCGGTTTGCGAGTGAAGTGGAATAGGTTACTGCTGTTGTTCTGACATTTCATGCTTTTGGTGCTTTATTAAGTTATAGGTAGTCTGTACACAATCAGCGCCAACGATCGGCTTGAATGGTGTTTACTTTCGTAATCCTTGAGAATATTATTTTCAGGTGTTGCTAACGGTTGTAATTTCCCGCGTTTGCGTTACAGTTATTAAGCAACTAATTATTTGCTTTCTTTTTTTCAGTATTTGTAATTTATTTGCATGGTATTTCTTCTTTGCATTTAACTGGTTTATTAATGAAGAAGTAATGTTCACTTATCTCAGTTTTGATTTCGGCTAAAAAGCGAAGAGTTTTTGTAGTACGTTAGATAAATCTGGAGGGTTGTGCGTAACTTCAAATTTCCTTTTTAGGCTTGCGAGGTAGTCAGCAGGTAACCAAGATTGTAGTCTGCTCGATGTTTTTTAATCTATTGAAGGGTATTAAGCGAGTTGTCAAGTCATTTTGACCATTTTATTAGACAGTTATGATGGCTTTCAGTCATGATTCTGGAAGTTTGGATAGTTCAAGAAGTCTCAACGATGAAACTGTTGCTGTGACGTTGGTAGCTGAGTAAGTATTATAAATGTTTCAGCAGCTTTTGGCATTACGGGCCATTGGGTGAATCTTTTGTTGCTTCCCAGATTCTAGTGATTTGTAATTTTATCTATCCCTTCACTTATTTCTCTAAACAATTAAAAAAAAAAATTCACGGTTGATTAAGTTTGACTCTGTATATAGTTCTCTTGTTAGATTTTTTAGCTGCTTTGATTCTTCCTTTTGGTGGTTTATGTCTTTTCTTCATATTTGAAATTTTGAGTTGCTTATCATCTTGATGCCTTTTAAAGACTTTTAATGTCTTTAAATATTCTTGCCTTCAGCAGCATTGAGAATTATTTTGCTTCATCGGTCTGGTATTGCAGATACACTCTCCCTGATGAGTTCAAAAAAGCGAATCGAATTTTGTACTTAGAATCTAATAGTAGCATTCTCGTACAAACCAAGGATGGTCATGCAGGAATTTTAGATGGGAACTTGGAGCGCGAAACTCTGCTAGCAACCGCAGACATCGACCCACATATGCTTGTCAGTTGCATTTTTCCTGTGAAATTTTAAAAATTCCTAATTATTCTTTTTCTTTGTCTTTGTTTTTTTTGTGCAGGCATGGGACATTATGGCAGTAATCTTGAACACTGAAATTAGTTTTTATGCATTGTCTTTCTAAAAACGTCAGAAAAAAGCCTTTGTAGGGCTCCTTAGGCGAAAGTTACCACTTTTAGATCACGTATGATCGGCAAAACGAAACCCTGATTGCGTTAGATGGTGAGAAAATATGCTTTCGTCGAGAATTTGCTGGGGTATATATGCTAAGGAATTTGCTTAAGTTATCCGTTGACGAAGAAGTGTGTGTTGAAATGCCATTGGAGGAGGTTAAACATTTATGTTGATTCTCAAAAAGCAAATATCTCGTTTAAAGTTGAATGATAGGAAAATTTAGGTCTTTTGAGGATTGTAAGATTTAATTTCCGCATTTTAAAATTCATTTTTTGGAAAACGTTGGGTTTCTTAGGCCTCTAAGCTGATTCGACTGTCAGGAGCAGCAGAGGAGATTTTAAACTGCCGTCCTACTTTAGCCAGATTCATAGATGTTCTCTCAAGTGCTGTCTCTTCTTTGCCGTCGACTCCAGTAAGTGTACTAAAATTTTATTTTTTTTATGGACAGGTTGAGCTATATTTGTTGGTAAAGTTTCTTGTGAACCTTGGGTTATTTGATTCGGAAGTTCAGTAAGTTTTTCATTGTCAATGTTTTTTCTGTTTTGTTTCTAAATGTAACCGTGCTAATTTAGCATATCAGTTTGCTGTAAAATATACTGTATGAATTCCTGATCTTAGAATCACGAAGTTTTTTGAGCTGGATTTCTTAAACCTCTTATTCTGAATCGTTTTTTAATTTTTAATGCTCTTTTAATTTTTCGGAGAAACTTAAGTTCTTAAAGATGTTATCTGGAGAATTGGTGTTGTTTACTAGCTTAATAGATCCTCACCAGCATTTTAGCAAGGGACGGTCACTGTTAATGTTGTGGCCCGAGAGCTGCTGCCGGAACTGCGATCGGTCGATGGTGATAATAATCTTTCGCGGGATTGCAGCGGTGAATGGGCTAACCCTATGTGGCCACTTGTATCGGCACTGGCGGAACGTATCAGGGTATAAGAATTTGATAATATAATAAATACTTTTAAATTCAATTTTCAGGAACTTCAGCCTTTTATTCTATTGATTGAGAAGTCTTCCAGCTTTTGTTGAATCCGGAGCGTCCATATAACTTTGACTGTACAAATGGATTTAAAACAATCGACAAAGAAGTTATGGTCAGTGAGGCAGCCAGAAGACTTACATTTGAGCATTGGCCACACATGAATTACAGGTAGTTACTGAATCTAGGGAATAAGGCGGTTGACTGCTGTGCACTTTTTCTTCGTTCTTTTTTCTTAATGGTTGCGTTCTTCTTATATTTATGGTTTTGGATGGGCTTTACCCTGTCAAATGGCTGAAGCTGGGTTTTATCACCAACCGAACAAACGTGGGGACGACCGGGTTCTCTGTTTTGCGTGTCTTGTCTGCCTCGTATGCTGGGAACCTTCTGACGAGCCCTGGTTATTTTAATTGGATTCAGACCCCAAGAATTTTGATTTTGATGTGTTTTTGGCTGTTAAATTTGATTTATTGCAAAGATTTTATTGTCTTGCATCTGGCGGGTTGAGTAAGCTTTTTTAAATAAGCAGTACCGGGGGAATTGGAAGGGTAGTGCATTTTATTTAAAATGCACACTTCGTGATTTTTTCTCATTTTTTAGGTCAGAGCATGAACGCCATTCAGCGTCTTGCAGATTTATTCGTAATAGTTCTAATCCGAATGTGCCTCTTTCTTTAACAATGTCTTCTTTGGGCCCCACCTTTCATAGAATGATTGGTTTCAAACCTGGTCGTTTCATAGTATCAACGGCCAGTAATACTGAGTGGCTGGCAACTGCTCACGAATTTTCTTCTACGGTTCATGTATGGCGTGCAGATCGCGTAGTCCAGGTGGCGCTTCAGACTTGAGACTGTTTAGTTTTTTTTGCTTCCCATACTTGTGTAAGCTTCCTCTGATTTTTTAGACAGTTCGTTCGTTCTCAGTGGATCCTAAAAGTTTATTTATTTCGCTAAAAGGTGGTTTTGTTCCAGCTAATCAGAGCCATGGAGTGACTTGGAGTGGCAGACTTTCGTATAAATTTCAAAACTTAAGTCTTTCTGCCTAAGTAGGGTTTATTGCTTTATAAATTTCTTTGTTACAGTTCTGTGTCGGTACACGCTGAAAGTGAAGAAGAATTCAAAAATAATTTCGTGGTTTTGCGCAACAGAGGTACTTTTTGTTTTACTGTACTTTTGTATTCTTATTTTTATTTTACTGATTGGAAAGTTTTTCATGACGTCCTCCATTCTATTCATTGATGGCGGTTAGGGTGAAAAGCACTTTCTTTCGTTTCTTTTGACGTCACACCATCAGTTGTCATTACGTTACGGAAAGAACACTTGTATTTTATTATCCAGAAGTTTTTTTACCAGCAATTATTGAATATTTTATTGACAAGGACGAGGAACATTATTATGGAGGTGCAAAAGGACTGTCCCCGCATACGCTTTTTAGTTAAAAGATTCTTAATGCGAGTGAAATGACTTTAAAAAATTGGTTACTGTTTGTTTAAGGATGTGGTTCAACTTCTGAAAGTAACGAGAGCGAAATTCGAGTACAGGACGTCTATAACACGGTAGTTTTTTTGATACGTATTTTTAATGCTTTCTCCTAATCTGACCACCGAAGAACTACTCAGTTGCGAAACAGTTAATTATTCTCTTGGGAATACTTTTTTTTGGTGGTTGCGTAGTAATCGTTTTTTTTTTTGTTTCGAGATATTTAAGGAGGAGCACTCGTGTCAGTTAATCGTTGTAGATTCAGATCAACTCATTGTGTACTGTTGGCCGGCCGTGTATCATCAGTTCTGCAACTATAGACGCATTATCTGAAGTGGGAATGACGAGGTTTCCACCAGCAGTGATTGTAGCGGTAACATTTGATGGTAAGATCATCGGCTAAAAATAAATTTCTGAAAGTCTTTCGTGTTTTTTGTTGGACGTTTCAGTGATTCTGATTTAATTTTTTACAGATAGCTAGTGTTACTAGAACTTCTTATTGAAGTTATTTTTATATTGCATTTCCATTTAGTTTGGTTTGATTTTCAAAAATGTTGTTTCCAGGAGTTTTGGAAGGGCTTTTTATAATATTGGTACTTTGTAATTAAGAACTATGAGTCAAATCGCACAATTGACTTCATATATGTTTAGTAGTACCGGTGTGTTTTGCTGTAACAGTGGTCATTTTATTGGGTTAGGAGGACAGATTTCTGACTGATATGAGGGATGGTGACGGTCAAAGTTTTTTGAGAATGGGAATAGATGAATGTTTCAGTTATTAATGCAAGTTTTGACGAGAAAGGGACGTCACCGGAAAGGTGCCATTCTAGTCTTCCTTTTATTCTCTTATACCAAATAGATGAAACTGAGAAGCGAGGGGACGAAGTTACAGAAATAAGTGGTCGGTCTGGTACGTGAAATTAACTGTCATTTGTTCTCTCTTAACCTTATAGGTGCTAGGAGCGAATTTTATTGAACATTCTTTTTTCGATTCTTCTGGTTTTTCAAAATTTGTTTTGAGACATTGCAAGGTACTAATTTTTTGCAAATTACATTCAAGTAGCTCCATGTTACATGGAGAGAGTATTTTCTGAAGTCACCAGTTCTTTCGTATTATTTTGTGGCAGTAGCCACGTAAATCCATTTATTGGTACTGTGGACATGTCGTATATATCGGGCCGTCATACTAAAGATTACGATCCCGAATTTGGTCCTGTTATAATGACAGAGGAGGAGAACGAGGTTGCAGGCTGGACAGACATTCATCAGCCGTACGATAATATTGCTGAAAAAGCGAACGATGTTGCCGGTATATCTAATGATAAAGAACCCGAGCGGTGGTCAAGAAACCAAAAATTATAATTCCACTCTTTTCAGACAACAGCGATGCTTGGAGCGAGGCTTCAAAAGGCATTCCAAAGTATGACGACAAGTGTTCTGATTTTATACCTATAAGTTACGAACCTTCTTCAGTCACTGTAATTCCTGTCCAATGCTTCCATCTTCCTCTGGAATTGAATGAAGATGGTTTTAAGGTGATAGCATTTTTGTTTTGTTTTAAGCTATTTATATTGATTGAATCAATTCCGCAGATAACTATGTTGTTACCCTCAAAAAATGGACAGCTCTTGATTGCTGTTGTTAATCGAGATGGCCGGGTTTTTGATAAAATCCAGTCAGCAGTTTTAGTGTACCAGCTCAATTTTACTGAATGCGGGCCGTCAATTCAGGTTGGTAATACACGTTTTGAAGTTTATGGTTTCCCAAATTGTATTGTTTACCTCCAATTTGGAAGCGATAAAGAATTTTGTAATAATATTTTGCTTTCATTTTTGTTCATTTCTACTGGTAGTTTTTAGGAAGAACCTGTACAAATCCATACAGAAAAGGAAATAAAGATTCTTGAACTTGTATTTACTGATATTGATTTCTTTTCGTCTTATCGTAATTCTAATGGTCAGCGTTGTGGAGAAATTATTTTGGAGACTGCGATAATTGTGGGTTTTTTCTTTGTCTGTTTCCTTGGCCATTTTTTTATTCTCTTGTTATCTGAAATATTTTTAGAGAACCGACGACGACGATGTTTTTTTGCTTGATATAGGAAGGAATTTAAAAATAAAAATTTGTGACGAGAAGGCAGTGCAGGTTTTATCGCTGGAAAATGGTAGGTGTGTCGTGCTGACAGAGGAGGGGAAGGTACTTTTATTTTCAATTTATTTTTTGGTGCGTATGTAACTGTCTGCAGTTTCTTTCTCTTTTCGTGCCTATTTGAAACCTCTCTGTTTCTTTCAACATGAGTTACAATAATCACAGAAAATTCACTGCTGTACTGGAACGGAAAAGAAAGAGAGGATATGAGGAGGGCTGGGGAGAGAAAAAATTAGATTTGCTGTGAGCATTCTAATATGGATGATACAGGTGCTGCTGTTCCAACTTGACCTTTCAAGTGCTCGCAAGGTTTGCAATGAAGACGAATTGGAAGTAGCGTTTAGCTCTCTTGTGGATGTTTGCTCCTCATTGCGGGTGTCACTGGTTTCAAAGATGGAATTAGGTGATTCTTCTTGCTTGTTTTTTCATGTGTTTGCAACACCTCTAATTAATAATTGTTGAAGTGGAGAGTGGTTAACTGTCATTATTCTACATTATTAGTTATTTCATAAGTTTACTTGCCGATCGATCTTTATTACGTTCCTCAGTTGTGGTTTGCGAGTTCCTAAAGAAATTAGGCAAGTTGCTTTTGTGAAGTTGTTGTTGGACTCGTCAAATTTTGTTTAGCTTCTAAGGAAATTAGAGCTCAAAGCAAAAGAGAGGGCAATAAATTCTTTTTCGAATTATTAGTATAGTTTTTATTTTATTTAAAGCTTCTGAGCTTTGGGCCTTTTACATCACTTGCCTATGGTTAACTTAGTACTTCGTTTTCTAAGGTGCTCACTCTGTCCTCTGTTATTCATTCTAAACTGATGATGAAAAAATTCATATATTTACTTGGACACATATGTTAAAAAATGGTAGTACGGGGAAGTTTTGTGAATATTGGGTGATAGTTCTGTGGAACTTTTTACTGGTGCTGCAAGGTGCTAGTTTCTTGTTTTTTTTTTTCTTTCTTTTTTTTCTGTGGATTACCAGGCTTTTCACAGCATTTTAAAATGTATTTTTTTCGAAACATTCTCAGACGAGAAATGGTTAACGACGAAGGAGGCTTTAATCAAAGAAAAAGTACCGTTTCCTGTATTACAAGGGAAAACACTACCACTTGGAGAAGCGGAAGACATGCTTTCAATTGCTAATCTTTTATGTGTGCAATCACTTTCTACATCTGTCTTAAGAGGAATGTGGGATTTAACAAGGAGTGACGGAGGATCTGTTCTGGCAGCTCCTACCAGCTTAGGATTGCCAACATTATCGTTAGTTGTTCAATCCACTATATTTGTCGGATGCTTTTTAAAAGCTGGTTTTTAAGTAGAAAATTTACTAATTTTTTTTGTGGTAAATATATATGGAAAGTAAAAATCCTGAAGCACTTCAGCCACGGTTTCACTGTAACGACACCGCAAGGTTGGAATGAAATACAGTTGCATCAGAAATTTCGTAAGAAGCCACAGCACTACTTGCGTTGTGATCGCCTCACAAGAAGCTGGCACTGGCAACCTGAATCCACGGATAAAGTGCGGTACCATGCATTCGAGCTGCACATTCAGGTAGCTTTCAATTTTTATATTTCTTTTTTTCTTGAATTAGTTTGGCTTTTGCTAAGCAATTTCTTAGTAAGTAAAATAAAATTCACCTTAAATTCTTCCGAATTCTGTTGCACTTTTAAGCTTTGGATTTTTTCAGAAACATTTCGACATTTCGCATATCAATGTGCGATTTTCTTTGCGACAGTCGTGCGTTGGTGCACCAGATTTACAAATTTC